TCAGTGAGGAAAGGGTTCTGAGAGCCTTGGAAGTGATATTCGTGATCACCGCGAAATTCTCTATCGAATGGTGTATGAAGTGTCGAAAAATAAATTTCACTGCAAGGCTGCCCTGGGTGCATCTTATTTATTTTTAAGAAATTTTATATACGAAAAAAAATTGGATAAATTTGTTAACAACATACGTTAGAGGTTAAAGACACATTGAAAAGCAGTAAATGTGTTATTTTTTGGACGAATAATAATGATAAAATTTAACAAAAATTATTCAATTATTATTCCAATTATTATTAATTATTATTATTATAAAAGAATTGTCAACAATAATCCAAAAAAAATACCTTGTCAAAACTAAGTGAAAAAAAAAATTGAATGTCTAATGATTTTCCAAACAACAATTAGTTTTACCCTTTAAACTACACGATCGAGTGACTGTTCAACATAAATATAAGAAGAAAATCGAAGCCATATCAGTACTGGGTAAACAATACAAGCATAAAAAGGAAACAATTTTATCTATGATATAGCCGTACCATCACAAGGATATTGTATAGATCAATACTTTTTCGATAGAAAAAAAAATCCGTTTGATTTTCTTAACCTTAACAAACCCATTTCAGTTATCTCACAGAGATAAACTATGAAATGACGATAATGAGTGATGATTATAAATATGAGGGTCTATTCTACAAAAAAAAAAAGAAAAGGGGGAGCTAATTGATAATTTATATCAGTCAATAATAGAATGATTATGATTTATCACTTCAAAAATTTAAAATAACTACAATAATAAACAATACTCTTCAAAGATTATAATAAAACTATGAATACCGTTTTTTCTTCATATTTCAGTTAAAATAAGTTCGAAATCAGTTTTATTTTGATCGTAGGTAGCCTTTCTAGATGATTAGCATGTTCGAATAATACATATAAATAAAAAGAAAGACGTTTTCTTTTGTTCTTCTTCTTCTTTTCCAATGCGGGCTTATTTCACCCGTGCTGATTATTATTATATATCACAATGTCCGTTAAAAAAATTCTTCATCCTTCAAATATGGGTACATATATATGTACACAAACAACGTTTTACTGTACAAGATATCAAATTAGACAGTAGTAAGAGACCATGTGCAGTAGTCAATATTTGCATATTTATTTAAATTTGCAAGTAAGCCATATGCTAATTATACAGTGTTACTCAGTAACTTGTAATAAAAGTTACGATTGATTACATATAAACTGTTACTATTCTAACCTTGTACAAACGCGTAGCTTCATCACAAATCTTTAGTATATACTGACCTATTCATAATCAAACATATGTATGAAGTGTTTAGGATGATGAAGGAGAAAAAAAAAAGAGTAAGTCAAATACACATACAAGACGTTAACTAGTATATTTCTACGTGTATGAGACTGAACACATAACGTCTTATAGTGAACAATAAAAACCAAATGACGTAAAAAAAAATGAGATTTTCTCTCTTATTTGAAAAGTAGCATAAGCTAATTTTAGCAGAAATCAGTTTTCTATTTTAGAACTTAAGAATATCTCTAATATCTAATTTAAAATTAATGTCCAGTATTTAAATGCGTATGGTAAAGCCTTGTATTGTATGTACTCACATCTATCGCCTAAAAACACTCATCGCGGTTTGAGACTATATTTGTGTATATATACGAGAATGAGAAGAGGGAGAATACAAAAAAATAAAGCTTTTTCCCTCTTTTCTTTCTTTCCTGCTAGAAACCGCATCATCTGAGTTTTTTTGAATAACATATGATAAAACGTGCAACAAGAGAGAGAGAGACAGACAAAAAAAAACAAATCAGCTGATTCATATTGTAAAGTAAAGTAAAGCGCTTAAGGTCCAATATAAAGCCTAAAAAGCGTATGAATAACAAACAAATTATTAATGATATCCTCACTAATGAGTTAATAACGAATTGTAGTATTCATCACTATTTGTCGATATTATACAAAACAACTCGATTAACTGCCATGAGTAAAAGAAATTAAACCTCAAGACTCTAGAATGTGTAAAAGTGATGTGAGATGGTCACTACATATTCTGAATACAAGACTAATGAGTGCATATAATATTCTTTCATTAAATTCAGTTTTAGTTTTTTAAAAACGCTATCTAAAGGTACAAACATCTGTAAGAATTAAGTCAATTGTATAATATAATTTCTCTTTCGTTAAATATTTCATTAGTCCTATTCAAACACCCTACTTTCTCACACACACACACACACATACACACACATCCTTGCCAGATAAAACACAAAAAAAAAATATGTTTGAAATCAATACCTATGCAACACGATAATATAAGAAAAGATATACTCAATTTTTCATTTGTCCAACAGCTGTGTGTGTTTTGTGTTCTATAGACTTCATTCTCCTATTCAAAAAACCAAAAAGGAAAAAAAAGCTAACAAAGTTGTTTTTTCTTGATGTCAAACAAAATATACACAGCTATACGTCTAACATTATATGTAATAAACAGAAAAAAAAAAGTAAGTAAAAAATAATAGCAGAGCATGCAAGAAGAAAAAAATGGAATAGAAATAAAAACATGCATTAGCAGATAATTTATCCACCGATCTATTCAAAGGAGAAAAAAAAGTGGATTACGCATGAATAAAAATATATTGCACATGCAAATTGAATAGATTAACAATCTCATCGAGAAAAAAAAACGACACATTGAATAGTCTATATTACCTTAAATAAGAAAGTAAGCACGAGAAAAAAGATGACAATATAACTCACCAAATTGACTGTATTTTTAGTAGAATATTTTGTTTTTCTTTTGATCAAATTATTTTGGTTTTTGCTCTTATTTATTAGTACAAAACTGTCAATAGAACACACTCAAGCAAATTTTTTTCATCAATATTTTGATCTGATTTAGGAGAACAGGCAACATATGTCAAAATCAAAATAATTAGAAATAGTATAGATATTTAAATAGAACACAGTAGTCTGAATGGTCTATGCATATTCTTTCGTTGTTGGCACTATTGATGTATTATTAATTGAATAGATGGAATAGATTAAAAGAGGTGATCATGTAGAACTAATTGTTAAAAAGAAGAAAAAAAAAAGCACTAACTATAGACGTTGAGGTGTTTTGTATACTTGCGAGGCAAACAATACAACTATGTTATTATCGATTATTGACAAAACTACTCTACTAACTCTTGAAAAATTACTTTTTCTGCACCGTCGATATATGCCTCGTAGAAAATAAACAATATATTACGTTAAAAATTGATTTAGTATGACAAAAAATGATAAAACAACTTGGTAACCAACACCAAGAATACATGTCAAATTATATTATTCTGTATTACATAGAGATCATTCATTTACAAATTTTTATATGTTAATAGTGATATTGGAATGAATAGTAAGAGTAAAGTGATGTGAGTGAAAAGTAATATTTACATAATAAAAGATATTGTACTTACCCGACTATCATTCACATTGCATTCATGTTTTTTTTCATTATCAAAATGGTTAGAAAGATGAACAGGAGTATCATTGTTGTTTGAAATGCGTCCTTCGATAATACATAATATTATATACCACAAGAAATTTTCAGCATTTCTCGGTTTTGAACCAAAAAAAATACCATCTAAAAAAACGATCGATATTATTTTGAATAGCACGATAAAAAATAAAACGAAATTAATCTGCTTACCGCTATGTTCCTTCATTAAAATATTTGTAAAAAAATGAAAATAAAGTAATAAATATCACACGTTCAGGATAGACTAACATATCTAAAGTTTTAAAAAGAATTTCATTACACAAAATTAAATGGAGAAGTTCTTCCTCTGCATAGAACGCTTATATTAGGGATTCTTTATTAATTCACTTTGTTTTGAGCGATGTTCTATTCTATGTGTTAGCTGTAATGAACAATACACACATTACTTTTTGTTCTTTCATGTCTTGACTTGCATGTCTAATAAGAGTTGCATCGAGAATTTTTGTCTGCTGATACTGATTACTACGAAACATCTGACCACTCAAAACACATCTTGTCTGCTTATATAGTTAACAATTCTAATAGTCATAGCACAAAAAGCTACTTTGTGCTGATCTAGATAAATTGGATAACACGTAAAAGTGGTTTAAATTACATTTCCTTTTGTTTTAGTGCCCGAAGCATCAGTAAACAGATAGAAAAACAAAATTTACACACATTACATACAAATAAGCGAAAACAAAACAAAAATCTACCAAGTTTTATCACTAAATGACCACTTGGAAGAATAACAAAAAAATAAAGAAAATTATAACAAGGAAAATAACAGTTTTCATCATACAAAAAGAGAAAACAAAACAATTTAACGAATTATTTTGATTGATGATATTTCGGTGTTTCAAAGCTAGGAACAGGAGGCAAGGGCAAAGGCGGTGGTGGTGGGAACGGTGGAAAATGAGTGGGCATAAATGGATTTGGCATTGATAATAATGACGGGGGAACAGCTGGAGGTCGCATATTCATCCAGATACTTGGAGAAACTTGGTTTTGCTGAGTAGTCTGTTGTTGTGTAGGTATTGCATTCATCATCATAGATGGTGCTGCTAAAGTGCGTCTTGATGAGTCATCTGGATGACTAGTTAAAGACGAGGGCATTGGCTGTTTGATATGTGCGGTAGCTAAATCATGCTCATTTTTTACAGAGGAACGTCCATCAGTGGTGATTGTCGGCGTTCTTGATGATGCTTGTTCAGCAGAAGTATGTGAACGAATATTTCTGTATGAATCATCATCAGATCGAATAGGCTAAAAAATGTAACACGAACGTGAAAATCAAAAGATTTCTGATCAATGGATTTTCAAATTTTCGTGTATCATAATTTTAAAGTAATAAAGAATCGTAAATCCACTGTTTGACCTTCATAAAAAAAGTAAACGTAAACACGAACTTACTCGCTTAACTGGAGTATTTGGCGTCGCTTCACCAATAACCGGTGATATGATATTTGAATTTCCTTGATTTATTGTCCATGTATTGGTATTCGAGAGTGGTGGTACATTTGCTGACGATGATTGAGAATTTCCTCCACTAATGCCGATAGCGCCAAACGTTGATGTATTATTTTTAGAATATAAATCTAAATGTTGATGACAAATATCTAAAATAAGCAGAAAACATGAGTGCAACTTTCACAGCAGCAGAAAAAACTCCCACCTTCAATAATATCTTTTGTCAAACCTTCAACAAATTGTTCCCACCATTTTTGTTTAGTGTTTTCTTTTTTATTTGCCCAATCTGTTATTTCAAATTTTGATAATTTACATGCTAAATACATGACAGCAATAGCGATTATTTCTAAAGAAAGAAAAAAAAACCATCAATAATCAAAGTAATCTGTATTAAAGAACTACATACCTGGTTCCCATTGTAAACACAGTGTCGTACAATAACTAAAACAGAAAAGATTTTAAACTGTAGATAAGTTGGAATTCTTTGAGGCCTTATATCAGTGGCAGATTGAAAATTCTTCTTAATTACATGCGTTAGGTAAGGAAAGTATGAGGTACGTATGGTTGCCATAGAAACACAACTTTTTTTACCAGTTTTGCTAGACAAAAATTATTTTTTGCTCTACAGGTACGAGCGATCGCTCTCTTCCTGGATCTACCAGTGCATTATACCTGTCATTTACAAATGTCCATGCCATTTGAAACATTTGACGTATCTGTTCTTTATCTCCTAAATAAAGAAACAATGCCATTATCCAAAAATTTTTCAATTCAAAATTTCAGTTCAAGACCAACGAGTGGAGATGCGAAACAAAAAATTATGATACATTTGTTTGTTTCGTATAGGCAACGCTTTATAACAGGTGTATACAGTGTAATGGGTCAGTTGTGATCTCATTTTCTGCTACTAGCAAATGATTTGAAAACCTCATTCCACACTTAAAAGATATGACATTTTGTCTAGCTCTTAGTGATATGTGCGACTTAAAATAAATCCTTGCATTCTTTTTAAACTTTAAAATAGTAAACTCCTCCAGAAACGATTACTGTGAGGCCTTATTTTCCTTAGAACGGAAATTCCTACTATGAATGATCTCGTTTGGAAACAAAAACTAAAGTTGTTTTCTTTCGTCACAAAAGTACACGTATTATTTATTCTATCTTATAGGATTTTGTAGTGGTATGAAAACTGAATCTTTTAGTATTCATGTGATTATTTTTATGACTATATGCTTCTAAAACTTACTACTTTTCAGGCTATAGTGATTGTTTTTGATGGAGTTTACTATTTTAAAGTTTAAAAAGAACGTAAGGATTTATTTTAAGTCACATATATCACTGAGAGCTAGACAAAATGCCATATCTTTTAAGTGTGGAATGAAGTTTTCAAATCATTTGCAAGTAGCAGAAATTGAGATATAAAAGCGATCCATTATATCGG